GAAGCAGCTGGGTCTACAGATGAATCAACATCAAGGCTGTGCAGTACGTTGGCACTAAAGACCGAAATCCTGCAAGAAAGCGTGGGGGATCTGGCAAAAAGCTGAAGCCAGATGTGGCTAGTGCAGTCTGCAGCACAGAAGATAAAAACGCTGCATTTACGTTGAATCAAATGCGCGTGGCCATACCAAAAGTGTACTAAGGGCTACAGATTAATACATCAACCATTGAGAGACTTCTCGAATTTATGTAGACGAGACGAACTACAACGTGTGACGCTCCCGAAGCTCGAAGCTCGGGCGAAGCGCAGAACGCCGGTCATACGGGTCGTTCGAAGCAGGAAAAGTCTCAACATTATTAATATAACGTGCAGGTCCGCAGGAGCACTTATTGACAGGAACGCTGTAGACAAATTTTACTGGGTGGTGTACAATGAATTTCATGTGAACGCCACAAATAAAATTCAAGAGAACGACCCAAACAGCCACTGGTATTGTTCTAAACGCACCAGCACACCATCGAGCGGAAAACTCCACCCTGGCAAGCGCAACTCAGTCACTTAAGAAGCTGCCATCATACTGCCCTTTTGCAATGCCATTCAAGAAGTGTTTTGAAAGTCCCAGTCTCACGTTAGGCTTACCTGAGAGAGCGCTGCGAAGAATAACTCACGACTCCAACGATCATCCGGAAAATAACAGCGTCGGTGGAAGATACTCATGGTGGCCGCTGTAAGCTCCGTGCAGCAAGTGCAACATGCGGACTGCGAGTCATATGACGAGCTCACCTTTTCTATCGGAGGCACCACGCTGACCATCAAGGTCATGTAAAAGGCAGCACAGTTCAGAGAAACAGCTTCTCTCACTATTTGCTGGCAACCTTGAAACAAATATTGATGGATCAACGAGTGTACAGATCTGAGCACTTTTATAAAACAAAGGTACATACCTAGGAGTTTCACTTCTATTAAAGCCGTCCAAATATATGACTATTTGTAGTTTCAGTGACCGTATTTGCTGAAAGGGCTCATTCCTTCCAGGCAGACTTAAGCAACAAATTGGTCTTCTCATTATATGGATGTTCATCGGAAATCAAAATATAGCAGTCGGGCAATTTTCCCGACTGCCTGCACGGTAACCAGGTCCATCAAAGCAAGTGCAGAAGTGCTTGTAGGGTATAGTAGGGTGCTGGCTAACACTCCAATGGATTAAGTACACATAAAAATCATGCAATGTAGGTGAGCGAACGCCCTTCGTTGTACTTCAATTGGTAACGCATCGAATCCGTATTTCTGAGTTTGCGGGTACAGATTCAGTTAGCGGAACGGAAAATTGGCGTCCACCTTAATTTGTTTTCATTTCATTCGAAGACATTATTGTACAATGAAAGTAGCAATGTAACCTATTCTATCTTTAAGTAATTGTCTGTTGCCATCGTCAGTTCTGCCAAATAACAAACCGTAGCATTAAATGCATCAAATAACCAGCTTCTGAAGGAATGACGTGTGCGACAACCAATATAACGGAGAGTGGCTTCGATGCCCATTTGTTCAATATTCATGTCGAAAGAGCTGCGTATCCCACATCAGCTGGCGTAATATGCACGACGTCAAGTGAGTCAGTCAGGTGACGTGAAGTTCTTGAGACACGAGTCATCGCAAAGCGCTTGTGATCTCTTTTTGTTTGATTCTCATGTCAGTCTAGTTAAAAATTACTCGTGAAGGTAAAGAAAGTTGCACGTAGTCATGTGACTTGCTTTTCGTCGATGTCTGGCGGGCGTGACAAACGTACTATTGTAGAGCTGCTTTGAAGCCCGCTCGATTGGTATTCATTTTGTTAGGATTGGGAATCAACATGAACTGGTCCAAGATGTACGAAGTCACGCGACTTACTCACGCGACCCGAAGAAGACAAGCAGACTGGGTGAGTTAGGGGAGTTTTATTATAAAAATATAAAACAGCGCATATACATATGAGTAGGAAAGAAGCCACACACAGAGCGCAGAACTTGCAACTACTGTGTACTCTGTCTAAGCACTGATTTATTACTTCGCGACCCGTTCTTGTTTGACGCTTTCTTCGCGATTTCCGTTTGTTTCATTCTCATGTAGGCCCGACATAGTTTACACTTAATCATGAAAGTGTTGTAAAACTGCAGAAAGTCACGTGAGACTGTTTTCTTCGTGGTTAATTTTAGAGTGAAGACGCATTTTGGCGTCCCATGACAACTTGATTAAATAATGAAAGCAGTTCGGTTAGGTATTCTTGACTTGAAATTATAACATTGTGAACATCCTTGGAGCCCTTGTCAAGTACGGCTTCACCATAGGTTAAATTTACTAACATCAGAATTAAATTGCGTGGCATAAATTATTTCATTGCCATGTCGACTAAATACTTGGCGCCAGGATTGAATTCACTAGCGACATGATTAAAACACCTGGTCTTCCGATTAACTTGAGGGGGAAAACCTATACTCCAACCTTCGTCGGTATATTCATAAGACAATATCTGTTTGTCCTCGAACGCTCTCTGTGCATGGCTGGCTACCTTGCGGCTACATTTGCCAACAATTTTGGCACAATCCTTGCAGGCTTGCCGAAATTGTGGGCGCAGGCTAGCCAGACGTGCACAGAAAACGCTCTAGGACAAAGTGAGATCAGTTTATGTACACGTTGACGCACGTAGGACCAGACGAGACAACAGCTACACAGTTGATATCGTGTGCTTTTGCAGTGACCAACATTGCAATCTTTGCACTCACGTCACACTGCATAGATCTTGGTGTGTTAGTCATAGTGTGGTCGGAGTTCGAGGCTCCCACAACTCGTCGGCGTAGCCCGAACTGGCGATGGGCAGCACTTGAGCTCAGGCCTAGATGGTGGTGCACAGTGAGGCCGTCATGCCAACGACAGGGGCACGGCCAGTCAGCGCAATGATGGGCTGACGCGTTGAACATGGGTCAGTACCGCGGCGTAGCCTGGCCCAGCGAAGAAGTGTCGGGGAAGATCCTGATACGTTGCAGCTTTGCTCCTGGAAAAACATCTCGAGGACAACGGCAAGAACAGCCAACTACCGGCCAGCCACCAAGAAGTCAAGACAGACAGCCGCAGGGTACAAATGGGGCGGAGCCTATCCTAGGAAAACCCCGCGATCATGGAAAGCTGGAACTAGGCCCGGACAAGCAGGTACGATTGTGATGTTGAACGTGCCTGCTTGTCCGGGCCTAGTTCCGGACAAGCAGGCACAATCGTCACCGATGCACGATGCCCAGTCACCGATGCGTCTTTGTCGCTCGTTGAGTGTTGTACCACACACAACTTCCTTCGTCGGCTCTCGCACTAACGATCGTCACACACCACTTCACTTAGGCCTCAGACGCTACCATCACCCCTTCAAATTTGGGTGCTCTGTGGACATCATGTGGTATTCGGACACCGAACACCACACGAAGCAGTGAATGTTTTACCACAGCTTCACAGCAGAGCTGGTGGGTACCTAGTTGGTTCGAGCTTGGCTAGGTTTTCTTAATTTTGAAAAGTGTTACTAGAGCAATTAGTACGTGTGTGTACACACTGCTACACAATTTGTTTACGCAATCTATTTAGAAAAAAAATGCCCGCAGCTTCCCTCGGGGGAACACTGAGGAGGATGCGGACCATATAATTGGTTAACGGGGTGTTAAAGTGCGACTTACTTGGGTCGATGGCTAAATTGGTTAACGTGGTTGTGAAATGGGATGTTAAATTGCGACTTACTTGGGTCGATGGCTAAATTGGTTAACGTGGTTGTAGGAGGGGGTGTTAAATGAGTGAACACGTACACACGTATGCGAAAGGGCGGCGCTGGTCGAAGGGACGTCGATCATTGTGTTTGTGGATTCGTTGAAATTTATTTCACCGCGACCTTGGACGTCGACGCGCCGTACAAACCAACCGACGAGCGGCAACTGAGCGAGCGAGCGCCGACCTTGAGTATATATACAGCACGACGGCGCATGCACTGTCAGCTGTTGAATGTTCTCGAAGCGCGACGCCACATGCGCGTCCACTGGAGAATCAGGAGAATTGTAGATGTCGAACGCGGTGTGTAGAGGAGGAAGGGTGCACAGATGGTGGAGGAGTGAAGCGCGCGCGGTGTGTAGAGGAGGAAGGGATGCACAGATGGTGGAAGAGTGGGCGACGGCGCGACGGCGCATGCGCGCGCGTCAGCTGTCGAATGTTCGAGAAGCGGCGCGGACGGCGCACTACAAGGCGCGAGTATAAGATGCTCCGCATCTAAAAGAGAGGGTCCCCATTTCTGATCACCTGTGACAACTTGTGCTACAGCATGTGCCCGCTATTCATTAGCCATCACGTAGGAGCACCGAGTAAACACGGTTTCAGTAGATTAGTGAGCTTATTTGGGGCAATGAACCCAAATAGTTTAATCTGACTAGCATATCTTTTCTTGTAACTACCATTTTAAAGCCTAACTGGGGTGCTATTAGCGACAAAGGTAATTGTGACTAATTAGATTGTCTTAATAAGCACAAATTAGTGGTGATAAGGATAGGCTGGTTAAGTGTTCGACCTAAATATTCAAATTATTATACCTATTGAGGTTCTAACGTGCTCCCCTTGGCTTAACTAAGCTCAGCTTAACTTGGCTTGACGCGGCAAAGGCAAGCTTGGCATGACGCCGATTGTTTTCTTTCTACCCCACACAGGAGAATGTCATGCATAACAACTTTGCTGTAAAACCCTAGAGATTCGTTTACAGTTATGATCTCTGCCATTTTAAGTAATGTAAAAGTATTTTAGACAAGCTTGCATGCCCTTTCGTTTTCTCTCGAGAAAAATATTACTAGGTGCCAGCGGGTTTGAAAACCGGCTAACTTCCCTGTCTTTCCACTTGTTTCTTTATTCCTTGTCCTCCTATTGATGAGGTCACACGTCATGTAATTTCGATTTTGTGCCACATCAAACCTTTTTTCATCTTGATTCTAAAAGAGGCTTTTACTTTAGGGTGACATGGGAGGTCTTGGTCCTCTTGGTAGAGACGGACTTCCGGGAGCAAGGGTGAGTTCTTTTTTTGTGTTAATTTTGCAATGGGGATAACATACTGGCCATTACTGTAACAGAATATATATACACAGAACCTCGCATCAAGCTGCTTGAGCTCCCCACCACCTCACACAAACATACGTGGTACACACTTTCTTTACTGAGACGATGTGTTCATGACATATACGCCCCTCAGAGCAATCGTTCGCACTTTTTTTATTTTCACTTGCGGGTTAACCTAATCATAATCCCCTCATAATGTGCTCTCGAAAACTGAACTCATCTCACCTGAAGAATGTTGCAATGTACACGCTATGTAGCAGTAACCTTCTGATTATTGCCCGTAACAACTTAATTTGCTGTTTACAAAGCAAACACAGTAATAGTTATTTCCTTCATGATAAAGGTCACAAACAAAAGCGTCGTTGCAAATCTGCGCATGTGTGTAAATGGCCTCGTATATTTTTCTCCTTGTTGGTGCCCTTAACAGGGCTTTTTTACTGAAACCCTATGCCTGACTAATTCGGATATTTCATATTTTAATGGTAGGGGCTTCCGGGACCAGCGGGACCCATTGGAGCACCAGGAGAGGATGGAGACAAGGTGAGTGACAAGGACGGTGGCCTGCTGCTTTAAAAAAGTTTAGTGCTGCACCTTACTTTTGATAAAACAAATTTTACCACATTATTAAATGAGTTATCACGCACTTAGGGATTGTACCTCCTGTAAAGTATGTGTACTTCATTACATACGCAATTTCACAAAACCTCTTCCACGAGGACACTGTTACTTTTCGAAATGCCTGTGAGGCCAGGAAACGCTGCCAATCGGCAGTCGAGGCTCCCCGCAGAACACACGAGTCAAACATTAGCGCGCAGCATGTGACCTGGGATGTACAATAAATTCTCAGTTGGCTAAAAAAATCCTTTCTTTTCTCTCTAGTATGGGATAACAAAAGAGAGAAAGCAATTGCAGTGCGAGACTAATCTTTGTAACACCGCTCACACTGGACGGAATGTAAAAATTTTTGCGGTAGTCAATTCAGGAAGCAGAAAGCATCTTAAGGAAAGTCATTGCTTAGTAGCCCAGAAAAGTGTTGCAGGGCTCCTTTAGAATGTTTTGCAAAGGTTAATAAATCGTCTTAAACTTCAAATACACTTGTTCTAGGTCCTTCATTGAAAACAACACATGCGTCTATAAAGAAGTGAACTAAACCTCGCACAATAATACTTCTCCTGCAGGGTGACTCAGGCCTGCCTGGTCTGAAAGGGCTGAAAGGTACCAAGGGTGATACGGTAAGTAGCCTTGGCAATTCATATAGACTGAGATAGGTTCTCTCAGACGGAATGTGATGGGTACCATTTTTGTATAACGTCGAATTTTGGGAATTCGACCTTCAAGTGCTCAACTTTGTATCCCACGAAAAATTTATTGTGTGCCAATTGAACGTGTCAATAAACTAACGTTGTGACTTTCATAAAATGGCGTATTCGAAGACCTCTGCTTTAAGCGGTACTATGAAGTGGTTAAAAGTTGCTTGTGTAGCAAAGCAGTCACACATTTGGAACGACGTCTTTCACATAGTATGCTCGAATTACAGCGATGCCATGTAAGCGGATGATTCGTGCTCGCCCAAACTTTTATTTTTCAATATAACAACACAGTATATTTTCTCGGTCATGTTAGGGGCCTCCTGGTGTGGCTGGGCCACAAGGACTGAGGGGAGAGCCCGGCGTACCAGTAAGTTCATTATGGCGACTTCTTGTTTTTCTATTTGTAACCTGAGCTTCCAGGGAACAGTCTGTCGACACTTCGCTATTAAAATTAAAACGGTGGCTCGATTAGGCCGATGGACGTAGATTTCACTGAGGGCAGAGCGCAGAAATGCTTATGTGTGCCATCGCTACGTGCATGCTAGACAAACTGAAAGTTATTCCCCACTGTAGCTCTCCAGCAGTTGGCTCAAAATTATGAATGTGGTTTCACCAAACACAACTCGAGAGTTTTTACCTTTAGAAGCAACTTAGCGATTCCCAATTTTAGCTCCATAAGAGAGCATTTTGTACGATGAGCGCATTCATTTGGTCACTAGGGCTCAAAAATCAAGCGTTAAATAACATACCAGATTAGAAGAACGCTTTTAACAAGTTTTACTGCAGTCCCTAAATATATACGTACAGGCGTCAATAGGCGCAGTAGTGCGGGTAGTTGGACTTGTTGGTTGTAGGAGACTTCAAGGAAGAGCAATGATGTAGGCCCGTGTGCTCAGATTTGGGGGCACGTTCCAGAACCCCAGGTGGTAAATATTTTCGGAGCCCTCAACTACGGCGACTCTCATAATCATATGCTTGTTTTTGGACGTTAAACCCCACTTACTACTTCAAGGACGAAATAAAAAAAAATATTTGCTTTTTTGAGCTCTGTGGGCGTCGTCTGTTGCCTTGGATTTTGCCCCACCGCGGTGGTTTAGTGGCTAAGGTACTCGGCTGCTGACCCGCAGGTCACGGGATCAAATCCCGGCTGCGGTGGCTGCATTTCCGATGGAGGCGGAAATGTTGTATGCCCATGTGCTCACATTTGGGTGCACGTTAAAAAACCCAGGTGGTCAAAATTTCCGGAGCCCTGCACTACGACGTCTCTCATAATCATATGGTGGTTTTGGGACGTTAAGCACCACAAATCAATCAATCATTGCCTTTGATTTTTTGCGGTGTTACTTGAAGTATGGGGACATGCTGTATGCGTGTACTATCTAGTACTTTCATGCCGAACTTTCTTTAGCGGAAGTGATCAGTTGACGAATTCTTTCTTGCATTTGGGTCGTACACCTGGTACCCATGAAGGCTGGAAAGCCAATGTTATTTTGTATTATAAGGTCTATTTTTGTGTTAGTTGTTGTGAGGTCTCTAATAAGACCAGTGCAGGTCGGCGCACTGCTTATACCACGCTGTCAAGGACTATGAAGATAGAAGATTGGGTGCAAAAATAAAGAAAAATAATTCGCAGAATTAACTCAAGTAAAGCTTTTTGACTTTGTTTTTGGCTGATGAAATTCTTGCCCTTCTTTTTGTAAGGCTAGCTGCTTGCTGCTTTATAAGAACTATTTTGCATGCTTAAAAAATCAGAGCTAATTGTCTCTATTAACAAGTACTTCTATGATGCCAGTGCGTTGTTCGAATGAAACTTACGCACGCGGCCCATTGACGGTCCTTCTTTTTCGCCCATCAACACTCTGCAGGGCGCGGAAGGCGAGCAAGGTTTGCGAGGTCCCGCTGGACCTCAAGGAAGCAAGGGAGAGGATGGTCCTATAGGAGCCCCTGGTAGTGCCGGTGCCCCTGGACTGCAGGTGAGCCGTTTCATACTGCATCCTATAGAACACCCGAGTGGCCACTCGCTTTTAGGCTGATCTTTTTTTTTTGTCAGAAGCTCAAGTGCCACCACTAGTGACACCGAGATACTTATAAACAGCGGATCGTCCTTGTTGGTTAAATGGTGTTGTTCAATTTGTATTTGCCTCTTCAGGGTCTTCCTGGTGCTCGGGGTGGGAAAGGTGACAAAGGAGACGTAGGCAAGAGGGGTCCTCCTGGACCAACTGGAATGCCAGGTGGACCAGGTCCTATAGGAGCGAAGGTTAGAAAAGAGTTCGCAGAGTCCTCGTCCTGAGCTTCTGAGTGCGAATTTGTTGAGTACATAAGCTTTACAGCCAATTCTTTTTCAAACTAAAAAAGGGACAGGAGTAGTTGTGAACCTCAAAATAAAACTAACCAAACAATTTCTGCACGTTCCAATGAACACGTCGGTACTTTGTACATTACAGCGATGCTTTGGTGATGCATCATCTCAAGTGCCGTCCAATAATGGAAGTAGGTCTAATTCAGTTCTGGGTGTCAGTATATAAAACGTGTAATTTCAAGCAATGCTTAGTTTTTTTAGTAAAGTCCCACATTTATAGGCTTATGGAAATTTTCTTTCTTAGTTTTTCAAGCTATGTAAAAGTAAACTAAATATGCACACTGTCAGACACCAACGAAGCTGTGTCACGAGGCTTATTTTAGTTCATGCAGTTTTGTTTTTGAAAAATAGCAGTATTCTTTATATGGTAAAATAACGTCTAATTTGGTGGTCCTAGGCAAAGTCTAAAATTGTTTGACACAACGAATTCAGTGTAGCAGCGAGTGTGTGCCTGTACGCACTGGTGATGCGGCGAGCTCAATGCACTGCTTCCTGAGTGTTTATGCTGATTACCTGCTGCAAACGTGGTGCCCATTTTGGAGCCATTCTGCGCCAATAACTGCATCACGTCGTGGTTTTGAGATGAGTTGTGCGAACGTGCTCCTTGCACGCTTTAGACCAGTTTGATGTGTGGTGTGGGATGGATTACATTATGCAGGTATGTTGTTTACACTTGCGAAATTGCACACATTTACAACACAACAGGGCGGCGAAGGTATGCCTGGTACCACGGGGCCTGAAGGTCCTCAGGGGCAAAAGGGAGACGACGGAGCGCCTGGCCTTCCGGGACCACCGGGCAAAGACGGCGAACAGGTATGCTTCTCTTCGGAGTGATTTCTTCATTTTGCTGATGCTTGTTTCTTCCACACCGTGGTTTCCAAAAATAAGTTCGTTTCCACAGGTGTAATTAGAGCCAACATTTTGGACATGATAGTTATTTCAGAACAAAAAGAAAGCCAAAAATAACGTCTGGAGCAGAATTCGAAAATAGCGATACTATAGCTCGGGGACAACTACAGCAAAAGCACGCCAGCAGCAGGGAAGACGATATTGATACCTTCTTGATGACGACCGGACAGTGACGGAAGCAAGGATGCCGTATCATCACGACAGCTGTAGCGATAAAACAACGACTCATGTTTCGTTAATGCATGAGACCAAATGCCTTACTTATGCGTTGATTTTTGCTTACAGCAATAAGATACGGAGGAATGACAATTGGTGTGAAATTGGCTGCAGTACACTAACTGACATTACTATAAACGTAATATAAAAAGGTGAAGGTTTCAGTTTAAATTACAATTTTCAAATGTTTTTCCCGGCAAACCTTGAATTGTAAAGGAACCTTACGTTCACGGCCATCCAAACTTTGGCTTCCAGCGGCGCGCTCTTTCGAAGCGTATTCACTTTTTTCATATATGCTGAGAAGCGGACAACTAACTTCCCGATCACGTAAAGACTGCATTTATATCAAGCAACCTTCTTTGAGCAAGCCTTTCAAGAACTGACCCATTTTATGGCTCTATGTTCTCATGCACTTAGCACTGTCTTCTTCAGCAAGTTCTCTAAAATGAGTTCATTTGCAACATTATGAGAAATTCATGAGAAGTTATAAAAATTAGAAGATAGAAATTTGAATTTATAAGAGTTTTGACCTTTTTCCATTCTCTCACACTTAATTTTTGTTTTGCTTTGCCTAAATTCTTTAACAAATTCTTCCAATACAAAGTGAGCCTCTGAAAGAGTTTTCAAGGGTGCCGCTGTAGAATCTGTGTGCAAGTTTCTATCTGGCTTGGAACTAAATAAGAAAGTTTACAGAGTGTGGTGCATTGATTCGTTGCATGCAACGAAAGTGACTTCTATTCATGTTTGGGAGCCTTACTAAGTATTATATTTTGTGCAGGTTTGTGGGTTCACATTTAATTGCATTCACAAAGGTGAGTGAGGGGGGCAGCGGGAGTTACAATGACATTACCAAAAGCCCCTTTGAAAGGAGACTCCGAACGTAGCTAAGGCTCACCAAGGAGCAACAAACCTTACGTCGGTGATGAGCGCTCATGCTGTGTAACTTGCAGGAGGGCGTGCAAGCGTTATATTGTCACAATGCAGGAAAACAGCAGCAGTCGAATCCAGGAAGCTCACTTTAGTTGTACCAGAACACTGGCAAACTGATCGGAAGAGAACCTCGTCTTCTTCTCTCGCTGCGCGTGTTCTTCGTTGTTCTCTTGGTGCTGCATATTCAATGTGGCATTTGCCCCCCTCCAGAGAGCAGCGTCCCGATGCTCTTCTACAAAAGACGGTGTAGTAGACGTATGGTGTAAATCAGTCGGAAATGTAGGGCTTCATTCGCACAACGTGAACGATTTCTGGTTTTTGCTGGCGAGTTGTCGAGGGGCTGTCAGGAACGACCACGTAATTAACGTCGCTCAGGCGTTGTAAAACTATGTAGGGGCCAAAATGCTTCTTCAGCAATTTTTCAGACAGTCCCCGGCGGCGGATAGGACTCCATACCTAGACTTTGTCGCCGGCCCGATAGACGACATGTCGGTGTCGCAGATTATAACGTTGGGCGTCATAATTTTGCTGCTTGGTGATTCGGACGCGCGCAAGCTGCCTCGCTTCTTCTGCTCGTTGGGTAAAAGATGCAGTGTCGAAATCGATGTCATTGCAGTCATGCAGTAACATGGCGTCAAGCATCGTCGTCACTTCACGGCCATGAAGGAGACTGAACGGCGTTCTTCGAGTAGTTTCTTGCTGCGCTGTATTAGAGGCGAACGTGATGTATGGTAGAATGTCGTCCCAGTTCTTGTGATCCACGTCAACGTACATACTCAACATGTCGGCAATAGTCTTGTTGAGGCGTTCTGTTAAGCCGTTGGTTTGTGGATGATAGGAAGGGGTTTTCCGATGGGCTGTTCCACTGAGCTCAACCACTGTCTTCAGGAGCGCGGCCGTGAAAGCGGCACCTTGATCCGTTATTATGATTGTTGGAGCACCGTTCTTAGGACGATATTTTCAGCGAAGAATCTTGCGGTTTCAACGGCGGTGCCACTTGACAAAGCCTTTGTTTCCGCATAGCGCGTAAGATAATCAGTGGCGACTATTACCCACTTGTTGCCAGCATGGGAAGTCGGATATGGTCCAAGAAAATCCATTCCAATTTGGGCAAAAGGTACCGTGGGCACTTGAATTGGTTGTAATAGTCCAGCTGATTTTAACGGGGGCGATTTTCATCGTTGGCAATTGAGGAACGTGCGCACGTAATGCTTCACAATAGCTGTAAGTCTTGGCCAGTAGTATTTCTGTTGGATTCTGGCCAATGTGCGTGTATATCTGAGATGACCAGACGTTGGCTCATCGTGGCAAGCACAAAGTATCTCCTCACGAAGTGACGCCGGAACGACAAGTAGGTGGGTGCTTCCTCTGGGAGAAAAGTTCTTCTTATAGAGAACACCAATACGTAAGCAGAATGATGGCAAGCTCCTTGCAAATCTTCTAGGAATGATTGTTGTCCGGCCATTCAAAAATTCAATGAGAGGAAGCAACTCACTGTCTTCTTTCTGCTTGCACGAAATCGTAGTGGTGTCAACGACTCCTACAAACGCCATGCTGTCATCTTCTGTGTCATCGTCGCGCTTTATCGGTGACCTTGATAAGCAATCGGCGTCGGCGTGCTGCCGTCCGGACTTATACACGACCGTCACATCAAACTCTTGAAGGCGTAAGCTCCACCGTGCGAGCCGACCAGACGGGTCTTTCAAGTTGGTCAGCCAGCAGAGGGAATGATGGTCGCTGACTACGTGGAAGGAACGTTCATAGAGGTACGGACGAAACTTCATAACCACCCATACGACAGCAAGACACTCTTTTTCCGTTGTGGAGTAGTTGGACTCGGCGCGGGAAAGCGTCCTACTAGCATATGCGATCACACGCTCGGCTGAGTCTTGCCACTGGACGAGTACAGCGCCTAAACCCACGTTGCTGGCATCTGTATGGACCATGGTAGGAGCATCCTCATCAAAGTGAGCAAGCACAGGCGGAGTCTGCAGGCGTTGTCCGAGATCGTCAAATGCCACCTGCTGATCGTCGCTCCATGTGAACGAAACGTCTTCTCTTGTGAGTCGTGTTAACGGCGAGGCTATGTGGGAGAAATTGGCAAGAAACCTTCGGTAGTATGCGCATAGGCCAAGGAAACGCCTGACTGCTTTCTTGTCTTTTGGTACCGGAAATATTCTGACGGCCGCAATCTTATCGGGATCAGGTCGAACACCTTCATGGCTCACCACATGGCCTAAAAATTGAAGCTCCTTGAAACCAAAATGACACTTCTCGGGTTTCAGTGTCAGGCCGGCAGACCTCATTGCCCTAAATACCAATAGCAGCCTGCTCAGGTGTTCCTCAAATGTTTTTGAAAAAACAATGACGTCGTCCAGATAGACCAGACATGTCTGCCACTTAAGCCCTGACAGAACGGTATCCATCAGTCTCTGAAATGTTGCGCGGGCTGAGCACAATCCAAATGGCAAGACTTTAAATTCATAAAGCCCGTCAGGCGTTACAAAAGCCGTTTTTTCTCTATCTCGCTCGTCGACCTCAATTTGCCAATACCCACTTTTCAGGTCCATTGAAGAAAAGTAGCGTGCATACCTCAGCCTGCCGAGTGGATCATCGATGCGCGGTAATGGGTATACGTCTTTCTTTGTCACACGGTTCAGCTTGCGGTAGTCGACACAAAATCGCAAGCTTCCGTCTTTCTTTTTAACCAGCACTACCGGCGATGCCCAAGGACTTCTTGACGGCTGGATGACGTCATCATCGAGCATTTTCTTCACTTGTTCCTGGATTGCTTCACGCTCTTTCGGTGCTACGCGGTATGGGTTCTGTCGTATTGGCCTTGCCGTCTCCTCCGTTATTATCTGATGCTTCGTCAGTGGCGTTTGACTGACCCTCGAGGTCGATGAAAAACAGTCTTTGAACTGGTGAAGAAGATCTACTAGACGCTGTCTCTGCGCTGGTGACAAATCCGTGCTTACGTCAATAGGTGGTGGGGCTGACGTGGCTTGCGGCTCGTCCTGTTGTACTACACAGCACTCGCGGATTTCGGTGATCTCGTCGAAGTAGGCAACTGTAGTGCCTTGTGTAATGTGTCGTCGCTCGTTGCTAAAATTTGTCGACAGAACCTCTGCTTCACCGCACACGACATTGACGATACTTCTGGCAATTGCAACACCGCGAGAGAGTAGGAGCGTCAATACTTGTTCAGCGATTCCTTCTCCAGTATTCTGCTCGCTGCACGTGACTGAAACAAGGCGGCACGATAACGGATGTACGGTCACATCGTCAATGACTCGTAGGAATTTTCGGTGTAGCGCTGCGCTTTGATCTGCCGAAAAGGTCAGTACACCGTCCGGAATATTGATGATGGCACCATATTCACGCAAAAAATCCATCCCCAAGATTGCCTGTTTGCAACACTCAGAAAGGATAACAAAAGTTGCGACGAAGGATGCATCCCCTATCTTCATTCTTGCGGTGCACTTTCCGGTAGGTGTGAGTAGCTGCCCTCCAGCTCCTCTAATCTGCGGTCCTGTCCATTCCATTCTAACCTTCCTGGGCGTGTCTGCCAGACTCTCACTCATTATTGAGAAGACGTCATGTTCATCAATCGTAATTGCAACTTCGGCAGTAACAACCCCATCTTTCGTCGATTCATTGAAAATGTGTCTCTCTTCGCTCGGCAGTAATGGGGGATTTTCAGCACTTCGACGATTCGCAACCTTCCCCCCTGAGGTCACTGCTTTTAGTTTCCCCGGCGTGGACTAGGAGATCTCCCTCTTGGCATGTCAGTGGTGCTCCGTCTAGAGGATAGAGAATAATGCCCAGGAGAGGGTGAGCGTGACCGAAACCCAGGAGGAACATCCCGCTGGGTCATGACACTCATGTCGACGTCAGGTGTTTCGTTGAAATGGCGCCGAGGAACCGTAGAAGGAAACCCGTGGTACCCTGCGGCGCGATACGGGCAATACCGAACGATGTGGCCTGCTTCTCCACAGGGGCCTATGAACAGGGGTACGCCAGATGTCAGTTTTGCGAAGTGGTGGCCGCCTCGGCATTGAAGTTTCTCTGTAGTACCAAGACGCTGTCGGCGGATGTTGCTGGTGGTACTGATGTGGTGTCGGCACGTTCGCTGGCTGTCGGCGGACTACGTCTGCATAGCTTGCCCTGGGAGTGCTCGTGTTCGGCTCAGGAAGCGAGAGCGCTTGCCTGATCTCCTGGCGTACAACTTCCGTTACTGAGGCGATCGCGCAGTCATTCGGTTTGGCGACGAGTTTCTTGACCTCTTCTTGTACGATTTCTCGTATTAGTTGGCGCAAAGAACCTTCGTCGGGTGTTGTTGCTGTGGTAGTGGCCGCCACGCTAATCGGTACACTGTGGGTTGGGTGGTCATACTGGCGATAACGTAGATGCAGTGCGCGTCCGATAGATGTCGCCTCCTTGGAGAATTCATCCACACTTGTAGGCGGGTTTCGTACGAGACCAGCGAACAGCTGCTCCTTAACGCCCCGCATGAGGTGGCTAACCTTTTTGGCTTCGGGCATATTGGGATCTGCTCGACGAAATAGCCGCGCCATGTCCTCAACAAACATCGTAACGGATTCATTTGGTTTCTGAATCCGTGACTCGAGGAGACGCTGTGCGATTTCTCGTCTTTCAGTGCTCGCGAACGTGTTGAGGAACGTCTGCCGGAACTCGTCCCAAGACGACCACACGCGATTCGTGAACCATGTTCGGGCTCCGTCTTGAAGCGGAAAATAAACGTAGCCCAATTTCTGTGTGGTGTTCCAACCGTTAACATTCGCTCTGTGCTCGAATTCCTCGAGCCAGTCATGTGCATCCTCATATGCGTTTCCGTGGAAGTCAACCGGAAGTCGAGGGTTCAAAACAGTCACCTGTGTCGTGCTTGGGCTGGACAGGTTGGGGCCAGTGCTTCCAGGCACCGTCATGCTTTCTGGCACAGTCACGCTTTCTGGCAATGGACCAAACTCCGGGCTGAGGCCTAACAGGCGCCGGCTGCTGCGGTGAACGGGGGTGTCGATGCGCGGAAGTCTTTCTTGACCAGATGCGGGGCTGTTGTCAGGCGTCCCGAACATGTACCCAGCGCCTCCACCAGTGTCACAATGCAGAAACAGCAGCAGTCGAATCCAGGAAGCTCATTTTAATTGTACCAGAACACTGGCAAACTGATCGGAAAAGAACCTCGTCTTCTTTCGCTGCGCGTGTTCTTCGTTGTTCTCTTGGTGCTGCATATTCAATGTAGCAATATTACCGACGTTTTTTATTGTCCTGCGAATAACATTTTTTTTTCTTCTCAGGGATCGAGAGGTCCTCCGGGCCCTAAAGGTGAAGAAGGGAAGCCTGGTCTTCAGGGCGTACCTGGTCTCAAAGGGCCACCTGGCCCCGAAGGGTCGAAAGGTTCACCCGTGAGTACACGCTGTTGGCCTCAACCTTTCCCATGTTTTGTCCTCGTCCACAATACAAGGAGTGAGACATTCTCGAAACAACAAAACGCGCATTGTAAATTTCGTGGGTCTGTTAGCGTTAAGCGGACCAGAAGACAACTGAAAACAGATTTCGTGTTAAAGCTTATAAATCAACCTTTGATTGAAAAGCTTTTTTAGAACATTAACCGAACTCTGCTTTCAGCTACACATTTTGCAAGCTTTCTTCTATAGGGAACAGTGCGCATTTCAGGCATAGAGAACTTATTTTGTTCGCGTTCTTTCGCTTCAATCTTAACCTTATCGCTACCGCTTTTCTCTGTCCTTTTACTACCATGCTGCAATACTGAGTAGTGAGCCACTCAATTTCTTTAAGATAACAAATGTCTTGCTCTTAATTTCACTTGTTTCCAATGACGAACACAGAAAAACTGAGGAAGCATCTGGGAATGCATACTGATGCCTGTTAAACTGGGTTTACCTGTATATCTGGTATTTTTTCTTTGCGCCCAAGTTTGTTAATCAACGCGGCAACATTGTTGCCTGCTGATCATTCTTTTGCACTTACCGATATCTGAAACTTGTTCCAGGGCGCGCCAGGCTTTCCTGGGCCTCCGGGGGCCGCTGGGTTGCCTGGAATAAAGGTGAGACGATGAAATGAGTAGATTAGGTACGTTCCTTTTTTCCTGATGTTTTTTAACGAGACACATTTATTACATTACAGACATTAAATACGACGTAAAGTTGGCGTTATTGAAAAAAAAGTATAGCTACAAACCAAAAACTGCATAATTTAGCTGAAAATACTACAACTTGACGTATTTTTGTAAATTCAACATTTCTTGCATAACTAGTAATTTCTCTCCTGTCTAAACGTCCACAAACAAATCAGTGTAACAAATATTGAAGTCACGTAAAAGACCACCAAGGTCTAAATTAACAATGCTTCATGGTCACAAACCGAGAGCCATTTGAATGCACAGATCACAGGTTTTCTAATAACATAGTGGAGCAAGAACAGTTTTAATTTTACTCTTTTTGCAATTGCTTTTAGTTATCTGAGTCAATTTCCAATGCGATGAATGCAATGCATCATCTATTGCATACGATATTTCACCTAAGAAATGTTCTTGGCCGATTTCCCCCTCCCCTATTTCAAAAAAAGTATATTTCTCCATGTTTAATTTTGCATTCTCAATTCTTTAAAGGGCGAAAGAGGCAGTGACGGAGTCGATGGTCAACCAGGGGTGGCTGGTGAGATGGTAATATTTTTTTTACCCTTTCGTTCCTTTGCCTCGTCAATCAAAGTGAATGCCTAATGTAAACGCACAAATTACTGTGAATGCATCAATGTGTGTGTGAGAAGGTTTCCGCTTAGGAAGCTGTCTCGATATCATTGCTTATCAGTTTGCGGCAGTATCAGGTTGTGGCTACTTGTAGTTTTTGTAACTGCAAGATAACGGTTCTCATGCTTGCTTCACGGACGCCAATTTAAGCGCTTTTTTTTGACTGACAGTCCATGTGAAAGGGGTGCTCAAAAAACAGTGCAGTGATAATTACCAAGGCTATTTCTACCTGTGGTAATGAATTGTCCCAGTACCGCCGATTTATTGATACTTTCCGGATTTCTCGGCACTTAGGAGAAGAAAATGAAGAGGTAGCTTTTGATTTTTATTTCACTTGAAAAAGAAAAAGAAAATCAGGGGGTCCTACTTTCATTAGTCCCTGACGTATCGAGCCTCATAGAGATTTGGGTTTTTATTAAACAACAATACTACATAGAAGAACAATTATATCAATAAAGAAGTGTAGTAGCGCAAAAATTATATCATTCAGCACAATCCCGTCATTGTCCGTCCTACAGGGGTAGCGATGCACAATAGGTACTTTGTTGAGTGCAATGCGCTCCGGTCCTGCGTTTGCTACTGATATAGCCTCACGATATGGGCGCTGACACCTACTGAAGGACGAGTAGTTATTTTGCCTACATCAGCTATTTTGAATCCACCGCAAAGACTTAACAGCCGCCCCGCCGCGGTGGTCTAGCGGCTAAGATACTCGGCTGCTGACCCGCAGGTCGTGGGATCAAATCCCGGCTGCGGCGGCTGCATTTCCGGTGGAGGTGGTAGTGTTGTAGGCCCGTGTGCTCAAATTTGAGTGCACGTTAAGGAACCCCAGGTGGTCCAAATTTCTGGAGCCTTCCACTACGGTGTCTCTCATAATCATATGGTGGTTTTGGGATGTTAAACCCCACATATCAATTAGTCAGGCTTAGCAGCAGTGAGTGCTAATCGTGTGCTACTCGTATTTTGCAGGGTCCAAAAGGCGAAATGGGAAAGATGGGAACTCCTGGAGCACCTGGAAAGCCGGTGAGGCTGCGTTTTTGTTGCAGAGAAATGCTCCATGTACAATGGCGATGCGCTTCTTTTACGGGTGTTCAATTGCACATTGAACGTGTTATTAACGTGTTATTTTGCTCTTTTTTTCCTGCAAGCAACTGAGTCACATAGTAGCTTAGCTGATCACCTAATTTCGCACCCGTGATAGGTTTGTGTTTTTTCGGGCAGCGATTGTCGAAGTCTTGCTTTTGTCGAATGACGTAGTATAGCACTTTCTGCGTTACTAAACCTTTGCTGTTGCTTCTATGGTCAATCAGGGTCCAATGGGTCCTGCTGGCTCGCAAGGGGACATTGGCCTTCCTGGAGACAAAGGTGACAAGGGCGAGATGGGGCCACTGGGACTCCAAGGGATCGCAGGACCACCGGTTAGCATTTCCTACTTACTGGAATAATTTTCTTTTGTTTTCAAGAGTTCGTAAAAAAGTAACGCATTATGGTCTTTATCGCAGGGTCCACCAGGACCATCTGGACCACAAGGTCTTCGAGGGTCTCCGGGTGTTGCAGTGAGTTTCGTTATGAATGCACCTTTGCTTGTGGCTTAGAAACTGTTCTGATATAAAATTTAAAAAAAACTAGGGTTAGCTTTCGTTTTTTATGTGAGGCTGTCAACCATTTTCCATATCTTGACGGGGTCTTGGTGCTCCACAGAGAACTGTTTCTTCTGAGCGACTAGGGGGCATATGCGTGATATAGAAACATCTTGAGAGTGTTTTCGTTTACTGTAAGGACGTCTCTGGATTTCGCGTATATAACAACAAAGTGTTACAAGTACGCGAATTGTGTTTTGTAGGGTGACGTTGGAGCCCCTGGCTTAGTGGGGCCGCCTGGCAGACCTGGAAGTACGGTATGTATAAAGTACCAAGTCCATCTTTCTCTATGTTGTGTTAAAGCCCTCTCACATCATTCTTTCCCGACGTGACCCTCACTGTGAACCTAACGCACGCTAAAATATGCTTGCGCACTCTTGGATGCAAACGTGAATGAATTAAACATTTTTTTTAGCATAAAACGGCTCTAAGCCACAGTTTAAGAATAGGTGGAAAAGAGATTTTTGGGTGTACAGCATGAGCATATTAAACTAAGATCAGTTCATGTGAATTCATTTTCCATGGAGGTTCAATAGAGTAGGTCACTCTCGCGTGAGAAGGTCGACCTCTCCTAGTCTACTCAAACAGGCCAGTTAAGTACTAGCATACGTGGGGAGTGTTTTTGTGCTTTAACATGACATTGCAGCACATTGTTAAGCTTCTTATGTCGTCGCATGGCAGGTGTTCGATGTGCATTCTTTGTGAGAAAGCTGGGAAAGTCTTATTGAGATGCTGTAAAGCTGCTCTGCAAGATTCTTAAGAATATGGGAATTGAAGAAAAGTGTTTGCAATTGCTTGTTTGGCTTCAACCCATGTGTCCAGTAATTGTGGTGTGTATGCTGCTTTAGTCAAAGCCTTGTTTAAAAATATCTCTTGCTGGCAAGTAAGTCCGCCCTGGTCGCTTAACAGAATTGCTGGTGTAGCTTGTAATAGCCCTCGTTTATTGTCAGTTTTTAGTTTTACATGAATGTAATGCATAAATTGTCTGCTACGAGAGCATTCTCTCAACATTTTTACGTAAGAATTGAGGAGGCCCAACTAGGCTTGGCGATGAACAGGGTTTCGGGACGCCCAAAGAATAGTCAAGTCCACTAGCTTGCGCGGTGATCGTATGAGCGGCTTTATTTTTCCCGTGCGTGCTAATGTGTCCCGGTGTTCAGAAAACTTCAGCATTGATTCCATGGTAATGTAATCTTTTTTTTCTAATGTTGTTGGCCACCACCACTTCTGTCGTTGTTGCGAGCTGAGCCACTGCTTCATACAAATCTGTCTGTATACGAAAGATTTTCTGAAGACTTGCGCACAATGTTCCCCGCGTGAATAAGCATAGTGTTGACCACTGTCCATATGGCCAACTACTCTGCATGTATAGGTGCACCATCGGGAACCTAACAACTGTGATAGCCATCGTAGCGGGATGCGGATATGCTGACCCAGGCAATACTATATTTTTCGTGTACGCTACTATCAGCCTTTAACTAACTACGCTTCTATTCGCACTTTCTTTCTTTACTCTTTCTTAATAAACGAAGGCTATGTATTTCAGTGGACGTTGCACCAAAACGCTTCTCTACTCGATAACAAGGGGCCTGACCCGCATAACATTTAGTAAAAAAACTGTGGTCCAAAAAAACACTACAATATATCTGGCTCTTTATGCAGGCTAAGTTGGGTCACCCTCTAATTGTCCGATTACATTTTTTCTTTTAGGGTGCGCCAGGTGAAAAGGGCATGAAGGGTGATCGAGGAAAACGTGGCTTCAAGGTATGGTTTACGCCAGCCAAACACTCTCAATATTTTTTTTGCTTCGTATGACCACTTTCGCTTTTCACCTAAAGAAAGAAGCTCTGAGAATTCTAAAACGTTGACTGCGATGCTGACATTATATTAAAAATGCCATTTATTATGCAAGAAAATGTCTCTATCTTTATAAGCAGCTTATACATACTGTTAAAAATGAAAATATTTTAGGTATAACGATAAAATCCCGCGTAAAAAGCAAATATTTTCGAAGCAGATGGCAACCTTGCATGAGCTCTCCAAACGTACATTATGCACAAGCATGACGCCTTTTCTATGTGCGATCCCCAATAAAGGCTGCCTATTTACATTGTAAAAAGGCTGTTATTTCGCGACTTAAATTCTCGGAAGACGACCTTTTGCAGCTTCATATTCGTATCCGCTGCTCTTGTGAGACTACACATTCCTAGCAAGCCGTTGCGTTCGATTGCAGGGTCACAGTGGTCTGCTAGGAAGGACCGGTGCCAAAGGCGACGTCGGTGAAAAGGGAGAAAAAGGTCAGCGTGGAGACACCGGACCCCCCGGACCTCCGGGACCCCAGGTCATTAACAAGCGCTCCGTATACAGCTATTACTTTGTCGGCATGTTATATCCCGTATTAAATGCGCTGTTGCCAAGTGCATGCGCAATATTTATTCATTTGTGGTGGTTATCAATGAACCCTACACGCACTAAGCGATGCCAATTCATACAGTATGTAACACACACTGACTCTGATGGCTTTGCTGGCAAAGATCAGTAAAAAAGTTTCAAAAAGAAATATCAATCACCTAATAAAGACAGTGCTTAATAATAAAGAATTGGAGACAATGCGCGATAGTGTGAAGAGTGCGGAAGCGGCGAAGCTGCTGACATTGTAGTATACTATGCTGTGCTATACTATGCTGCTACGCTATGCTATCCTACACATGGCTATGATTGCTCTCTTTTTTATATTTTTGTTGCATTTGCTTTATTGTGTCTTTATTTGATGGTTCTGGCTTTTTCAATGTTTTCTTGCTTTCTTTCTATTTCCGACTTTCGCTTTCTTATTATCTGGTTTTCCCTACTCTCTCTCTCTGAATTCAATCTCTTGCCCATCACAGCTTTTGTTTTTCATGCCGGACTAATCTGTGCATGGGTTGTGGGAGTGATGCCACCAAGATTAAGAAAAAGAACGAAGAGCGCGCGTGCGTGTTCTATTAGATTAGTTTTCAGATCATTGCTGCATAACAGAAGGGTAAATCTACTGTAAGACAGAATTCGTGGGCATAACGCTCAACCGGCTTTGGTTATTTTCACACTTCTGCCCCCGCCGTAACTCACGCCTGTAATATCGCAGCAACTCAATCACGTTTGCACGAATGATAAATGTACGTTCTTTTGTTCCTACAGGGACCCATAGGAATGGAAGGCCCGAAAGGTTCCGATGGACCGCAAGGAGAGCCGGTACGTGGCGAAAAAAGTCATCCTGTTGTGGTCTTGACACTAACTTGAGTATTATATAGGTTTAGCCAGAATGAACGAGACCGCACATTTTATGTTTAGATTCCATAGTACTGTACCTGCTTGAAATGTACACACACACATACACACACACACACACACACACACATACACACACACACACACACACACACACGCACGCGCGCGCGCACGCACACACGCACACACACACACACGCACGCACGCACACGCACACAAGCACACAAGCACACAAGCACAAACACGCACACGCACACGCACAGGAAGGCCTTCGTAATAGTACACACAAAAGAATGCCGCGTTCTGCATTTGCTTTATGCCTTTATGTGCCATGAGTAATGCTCCTGTCACAAGTGGCAAGTTGAATACACTTAGCGCGCGTTGACTAATATGGCGGCATTTTCTAATACGCTTTCGCAGGGTCTCGAAGGCATTCCGGGTCCTAAAGGCGTTCAGGTGAAAAATATTTTTGTCACACGAGCATCGAGTGCATTTTTGTGCGCTACATTAGACGACATTATAATGGCGATGCATTTTTTACAGGGACCAGCGGGAAATAAGGGGGAAACAGGACCACAAGTACGTTACAAATACATTCATGTTTAGAACATAGGGTGATACTATTTTTATAGCCTTCATTTTCATTTGAGTTCTTGCTTTATTGCAGGGACCTATTGGGCCTCCGGTAAGAACATTTTTTAAATTGTTTTCGTAGACCCAATCAATTGTTCTCTCTAGCAGCTATTTAACTGCATTCGCATTTCCAGCATGTTCATTTATGATAGGGTGTAGTGTAATATCTCATAAAAATTTTTTGCATACTATGTCCTTTATATGCCGGTGTCTGTAGTAGTTTTGGTTAACATGAAAGAAATGTGCTGATCTTCTCAAGTTATTAGGTATTCATAACACATTCTACCGCGTAAAATGCTGAACATGCTTCTCTAACTAGTAACGTATGCTGTCGGGCTAGTTGGGCTAGTTGGTGTATAACTGTGTAAAACGTCATTGGCACATACCTTAAAGAAGACGAAAGAAAGGACAAGTAAAAAACGCACACTTGCAACTCCATTTCCTCTAACTAGCATTTCATGGCCTTATCACAGGGCCCGCCAGGAGAAGGACCCCAGATACCTCCGGAGATGCTGTTCCAGAGGGACCATTCCTACAGGTTTAAACGCAGTGTCGAAAAACTTAACATTAACGATGAAGACACCGTCACGGCCACCACCAGTAAAAGTGATTATGATGACGACGACGACGTCGATGAACACAACTCCACGATGACAGCAGAACCTCTGACCAAAGCATCATTCCAGAAGATCAACCGCACGCTGACACACATTTTTGCCAATGTGTACATCATGCGTCGCGAGATTGAACACATCCGGCGGCCTGTTGGTTCACAGCTTAATCCGGCCAGGTCGTGCCGTGACCTGAGACTAGCGCACCCGGACACCTCCGACGGCTGGTATTGGGTGGACCCTAATCTGGGAGCATCGGATGACGCGGTGCGGGCCTACTGTGACATGCGTGCCGGCGGCGAGACCTGCGTGTTCGCCGACGAAGACACGCACTCTGCCCGAATTTTCAGGTGCGAAGGATCGTGTACGATAGTTCAGTTTGATTTAAGTGAAATGAGTCATAAGTGCTGTTCAGACTCATTCAAAGGAGAATACATGTCCTAATTAAGTTTAGTTAACATTACCACCATCATACAAATAAGAGGGTATTTTTGAATATAAACTCAGTCCGCTTGCTTTATATCATTTAAAAGCGGGTACGTGTGCGCACGTTCGTGAAGTGACGGACCCCTTTCTTGTATTTCACTAGCTGTTTAGGGCATCAAACATTTGATTTGTTGAAATATCTGTCTCTTGCGCTTCTTTCAATGGTTACGTGCATATGTTTTTACTCGAGAATACCGAAAAACAACCATTTCATTCCGATCTTGTTCGCAACTCGAAAAACTGCTCTTTCGTCATTGTTAGGACTGCGCTGCAGGTCATGCAGCAGAGTTTAATAGTGGAGGAGGGATAAATTCTACTGTGGTGACCAAGTTTTCTCGGTACAAAAGAAAACAAAAGATCTGTGAAGACACTGTGCGGTGAATGACGGCGTGTCGATTTGAAAGAAGTACGCCAAGTGCCGCTAATAAGAAAATTTGGCCCCGTATGTGCATGTTACACTGCAAATGTCGTCGAAAGACAATAGTCTTGCTTCTGGAGACAGTGAACAAAACGTTTATTTGATTTTCTACGTAAAAAAATCGGTGAATTGTATTCTGGAGCTGCTGCGTAAGAGTGCCTCAAGCGTGCAGTGGAGACGTACGAGCGCATCAAGTCACGTCACACGTGGGACGTGAGCGTTATCTGGCAGTTATCTTGAAAAACGAAGCGCGCGGCGTGCGCGCCCGTTTCGGAGGTGATAAGGTGTAGAACGCAAGGCTATGGGTAGGTGCCACCACCGTGTCGTTTTAGCAAAGCGATGGAAACACTTGCCTTTTCGTGTAAGCGTTGCAGGATCAGCGCAGCGTGATAAACGCTACGGTATTTAGAATTACTTATGTATGCCTTTTCTAGTAAAAGACTCACATACAGAATATTGATGTGTTGTTATGGTGCCTCAAATATGCGCAACATTGCTTTTTAATTGACAATCGCACAGGTATGAACGCTGAATCTTGAGGAATATTGGTGGGTTCTGTGGATGGGGTTGGCCGTATGGGGTATTGTCTGGTGCCTTTAAGGGCACCGTTAAGGGCGGACAAACAGAACAAAATTTTTGTGTCGAAGGTCCCCAAGTAAGACTATCGTCTAAAACAAGAGATGATGTTGCTTTGCAAACAACTTGAAAGCTTCTACGCTTAGACAAACACGCAACACTCAGCATTAAAATGTCCAAATTAGATTTAATTCTTTTAATGTCGTTATTTCAATTTCTCGGGATCCGCTTTCCTGATATTTCGCATTAGGTGATTCAGAGAGAGAGACAGAGAGCAAGAATGAAGGAAAGGAAGAAGTTTTAAGAGACGCATGGTCGGTTTGCTACCTGGCATTGAAGGAAGAGATAAAAAGGTGAAAAACAAAAACAGAACAAAAGAGAGGGATGGACTGTATCACCTGCACACTAGGGGAACAACATTAATACTACAGACAGTCACACATATTTGTTGACTCTAAGTCAACTGACAGCCTCTTCTTCGTCTTCTGCGCCTTTGAAGCACTTGTCTATAGTGCTAGAGTTTCGGTTGGAGAAGATGGTCTTGAGTGCGGAAGATTTAAATCACCATGAATTACTATGTCATAACATGGTTTATCATGGGTGCGCAGGTGGAAGAAGCCTTCCCCTTCCGCAGTTGCTAACAGCTCGTCGACATGGTTCAGCCACCTCAAGGGTGGTTTCAAGGTCCGCTATCACGCCGTTGGTGATGTTCAGCTGCGCTTTCTGGGGCTTCTGAGCACCACAGCCTACCAGAACTTTACTTTCGTTTGTAAAAACGTGAATGCTTGGTACAGCCAACGAACCAAAGACCATGCTAACGCACTTCGCTTCCGGGGTGGAGACGCTACTCTCATCAGCTTCGAGAAGAATAGCCCAACGGTACCTGTGGATGACTGCCAGGTGTGTGCGAACACTGCATTTTTGTGAATCTCGCTACTCTGTGATTTCGGCATTGTGAGAACGTACTTCATATGATACAATTGACGCCAGCTTATTAACGCCTCACTAGTACACGTGTGCTCTTCGACGCTAAATCTCAGTTTTTTTACTCGCAACTTCTTTTGAGGAAACAAATATGCATAACAATGGAAACTTATTTAGTCAAGCTGGCATGTCTGATGGCTATAGCGTTCACGTGTCCGATAACTCTAGAGCTCATGAAACACAGTCACGTAGGGAAATAAAACGTGATAACGTATTTACAGAGAGTTGTTACGATAGGTTTGATTTTAAAAGCAAGTTAAGGCCAATCCTGGCATTGGACGTGCAATTATAAAAGGCGGCTGGCGAATAAAGAACTCTTGCAAGGAAAAACTTTGTGGCTGCTGGGACGCGTAAGAAGCTCGCCTTGTTTTGTGCTCTGACCATGGCACACGGGAACTAAGTAACAATGTATGTAAATATATATATATCTGTTTTTTTTAAGTTCAACGTTCTCGAATGGTCTTCACGCGCTGTACTTTAGTACGAATGTTTCATAATACACAAAAGGTCATGAATCTTAACTGCCCTACCAAATAACTTTTAATTGGACGTTAAACAATTGGTACAAGATTGGACTTCTAACCTTTCAGTGACACACATGATTTAAATGTGCTAATAAATGAAACGAAAGGCAACGATGAAAGGCAAGGAGGTAGGCCTATAGGTTTATTCTAGCTCGACGTGTTGATTCAATCCACACAGTACTTTATGCATGTTTCACAGTGAATTCGCTTGCATGCATCTATCTTCCGCAGATCATTTATTCACTTTTGTCTCAGCTGAAAAATTGATATTGCGATAAAATCTCCGAAGAATCATGATATATGTCATATTCATCATCAAGGCTCAGCAAAATTGACTATATGTCTGCAAAAATGATTAGCCCTCAAGACGGGATAGAATGAGTTAGACATGTTGTTCGGATGCTAAAGGTTCAGGATTCCTACCCATGGGTTGCGGTTTTGACTACTCAGGTGAAGGCTTCCACCTTTATATATATACACCTCACAAGCAATAGCAAAATACTCCTAAAAATTTTATAATGAATTATACAGTATATTCTATAGTGAGTGGCTGTTGTAAACTTCATAATAAACGTCTTTAAAGTTCATACATAATTCATACAAGCTGAAAATACACCTAAATATTTTCTGCAGAAATATTTAGGCGTATTTTCTACTGAGTGACAGCTGCCGTCTTGATGCTAAAAGTCACTGGCGGTCGAATTTTTGATAATATTCCGATAAAAAATCTAAACGATATTAGGATGTAATCACAAATCCAAGAATCATTTCTGTTTGGAATGCGGAATGGAGACAGAGCTGACAAAGATTTATGAGGTGGTGATAATGACCACCTGTCGGCGGGGAAGCTCAAGGAATTCTCTCAAAGACTACTGAGTCACATGACAGTATTACAACGGTACAGCGTTAATTACTTGTGGGTCGTTCAGCCAATGACACGCAAGTAATTTGCTGTTAAAAGAAGCAGGCGGCTTACCATGCCAAATCCCATCACCTCATTTTGTTCTTAAAAAAACCGTCCCGGAAATATTACATATCTGCGCATAATGAGTCCAGCACACGTTAAAACTGTTGGCACATGACCGCTGCTGCTGCTTCCATGCACACGTCTGCACTGACGTCAATACAGGGTGAATTGAAGTGACGTTACTATAAGTTTCCTGTTGTGCAAAAGGCCGAAAATGCTGTATTGCTGAAGATATTTGTGGTAAATTAACCTGCCTAAGTAGAACGTAGCCTTTGATACAATATTGCTTTGCACTCACCACTTTCAGTACCGGGACGGCAAGACGGTATTTGTGTTCAAGACGAAGGAACCAGCCACACTGCCCATTGTAGACTTCCAGCCATTCGACTTCGGCGGTGAACACCAGTCTTTTGGATTCGAGATTGGACCTGTTTGTTTTCAATAAAGCCGACACTTTCTTTACACAAATGTCTTAGAAATCGCATGTATCGAGCGATCTGCAGATGCACTGCGATCTAAAAAAATACCACAACCAAAAAAAAAATACTACACAGCGCCACTACTGAGTTGGTATTTTTCGAAGTTGGGACAAGTAAAATCCACAAAATAGGTATCCAGGAGGGGAATTTCTATAATTTTTGTGTTGCGTACAACTATGTGTGCTGTATGAGTAGTGTGTTTTCAAAATAAAGTAGCCTTTTGTCAAGTAATGGGCGTCCTATCTTGTAAATTTTGAACCTACTGCATTTCACAGACATTCTGTCTAAAGCGAAAACCGAACAACGTAATTATAAACGAGATTAGAAAACCATGAAGAAATCTAATTCTAGGAAGTGGATACGCAGTACACTCTTAACTACAAAAGTTATTACGTAGTGCGAGAGATAGAACAACTCTAGAGCAACCCGTAAAGAAAAAGGCAGCCATCTGGCCTAATGCACAAGTTTAGTGAATGAAGCCCACATCATTGTTCATTGGTGTGTTTAACCACCGAAGTGAGCGCTTAGACTAAAAAAATTAAAAAAAAACTAATTACGAAGTTAAGAAAAATTGGTTACGATCAAGAACTGCTACATTGGCGCAACAAGAATTGGATGTTCACTGAAGTAGTTCTGGATAATTAATTGGTGTGTGTGTGTGTGTGTGTGCGTGTGCGTGTGCGTGTGCGTGTGTGCGTGCGCGCGTGCGTGCGTGTGTGTGTGTGTGTGTGTGTGTGTGTGCGAGCGAGCGGGCGGGTGGGCGGGCGGGCGGGCGGGCGGGTTTGGACTTTAGACTTGAAACACTTGGATTATACTCTGACAAACATATTGCCCAGATAAAAGAGTGCAAGTACTTTTTGAAAGTGTATTTTTTTCAGACCAATCTCAGTTTTTCAACAATGTGGCGGAGGTATTGGTCGAGTGTTTGCTTTCACCGGTCCATCGGCGTTGTGCATTTGTCTTACGCTCAGTACTGCCTCACGTTGTACAACTCTTCAGGGTTTCCAAGCTCCCACAATCTGGTGAGCAGTGTTGTATCAGATCGAATCCACTGCATTGCCTGCGGTAACTCCCGAAACTGATGCCGTAAGATCCACTTAATTATAGACCATACTTTATGACCCAGCTCCTCTGTTTACTTTTTTTTTCCTCTTTCTGATTGTGCCTAATGTGAAGAATCCATAGTGGCGATATCTCTTGTGCAGAGGCGACTTAGCGAATGACGATACGCCTCAAAGGGGCAAAAGAGATAATAAATAAAGAGAAGATTGATTACGGAACAAGGCCTCTCACATTTGCAACGACGCGCTAAGATAAAGGGTCCGATCTAAGCGCTCTCCCCTCACACATCTGACGGCCACCACAGACATCGCCGCTCACTGCTTTTCTGCTAATTTGTTCTTTTTCACAATAAGAACTGATCAAGGAGCTTCCAAGCGGCCATTTTTTATTCTGTTTTCCGGCCCTACTGGCTGACTAATGCACTGTCAGCCTCTCATGGCAGCTTCGCATAATTAGACGTCTCGATAGAATACACATAAGATTGTTGAAATATGCTGGAGTGAGTCGACTTGCCACTGCACTGCCATTTTTATCAATGTGGCGGAGGTATTGAGGGCCGTTCACCGCTCCTGTATAGTTCGGAGCGGGGATAGCATTATTTTAAGCCATTTACTTTTTACCTGTAATACACAATGCATCGCAGGTAATATGGGTAAACATATCGAATTCAATGCGGACAGTTTTTAAAACTGAAAGCGCATTTGCTGCTGAATTCGTAACGGAAAAGTAAGCTAACAGCTACAGTAAACAAGAAACGAATTTCAGAAGTGTGACATAGACTTAAAAACTATCGATGATGACAAGTGACGGTCGGTTCTGCATGAATACTACAGCTTTAGCTCAATTGGCTGCGTCTTGCCAATGTTGTACCAAGATGCTCCGTCATGTACACGCACCCCACATGCTGCTTATAAGATATTTTGCATGTTCCATTCATAAACAGCTCCGTATTTTTAAGACTTTTTTTGGATAATCCTCCAGATCATTCACTGGAGCATTTTGATTAGAGATAAGCTGTTAAAGCTCGAGGTAAGCCTTGTGATCAGAAGAAATTATCATGAAGACGGTTTGTACCACAGAAATGAGGAAAATTCAACTATACTCACCACTGGTCCACTAACAATGAAGATAATAGTTAGCCGAAGAAGGGGTTGCAAAGCCGGAGTATATACAACGAGAGAATACTACAGAACGGTAAAAGCAGCGGGAAAGGCTGTGAGATGATCCTGCTGCGAATAAAGCTTTACGCCAAGGATGACGTGCCTGTAGATCTATGAGAAGTGCGAATGTTCTGTTTGACCATGAATTCTTTCTCCGGAGATCGTGCAACCAGGTCATATCTGTGGCTGTCTCTAGTTTAACTCGAACTTCTCTGCGACGAGAATCAACGTAGAAACAACCTAGTATCACTTGGCCAAAGTCTGCAGCGACCTATAGAAGCAACCAGATTTGACTTCGGAATCGTGTAGTTTCACTCTTTGAAACCCTGCGGGACTTAGTGCCAGCTTCGCCATTTCAAACATGAGAATACGTGCATCGTTGTGACAATATTGTGAGCGAGCAAGAACATGGCATATTACCAATTTTATGTAGTTTCCTTATGTACTGTGTTGTAATTTTGGAACGTAGTCCGTGCTCGGCATCAGGGGCACTGAATTTCTCATGCTTGTTTTTGAAGTTCCTGTATCTTCAGTAGTGTTTGTTCACTGTGTCAAGAATGTCTTGGTATGGATTTGCGTCATATCCATCTTAAGCAAGCATCTTATGTATCTACGTCTGTATAGTCAGCGCGAAATAATTACTTGCCACACATATCATTTACACGATATATATATATATATATATATATATATATATATATATATATATATATATATATATATATATATAAAATTGGGTGAAATAACGTCGTTCTTTTAATCCGCGATTCCTTATGTCCAGTCCAGTGTATTGGTAAAGGGAATACGTGCGTGCTGAGCATGTCCTGGCTTCGTTCGCATAATAAGCATAGTGGCTCAGATTTCCGTAAGGATATTGGTGGTTGACAGTTCTCACTACTTGTGACAGACTTATACCATGCAAAAGCAATATTTTCTAATTCACTTACCGAGACGGCGCCAGCAATATAAAAGTTGCTCATTCAAGTGTTTTAACAGTGGAGCCTACTGTATACATTGTCTACTGAATACATTGTGCTGAATGATACGCCCGCTGGCTTCCAGCGTGTAAATACCACTTTTTGTGTCTTTTTCGCCATTGCGTCGTGTTAACTTTAATGTTTTTCAAAAGTTGTTACGACATGCACCGTGCCACATTGGACAAAATTGCCTGCATTACTGGTTATTGTTAAAGTAAATATAGTTCTGTGTCGAAGTGCTTGTCAAATAATAATAATAATAATAATAATAATAATAATAATAATAATAATAATAATAATAATAATAATAATAATAATAATAATAATAATAATAATAATAATAATAATAATAATAATTACTGCAGTAGTTGTCTTTCAAATCTTCAGCGCGGTGCAAAAGTGCCGCCTCAAATGCGTCATGTGCTGTTCTGCGCGTATGTATTGCATCGCATGTGTGTTCCATTTATGTATGTTATGTATAACTTCGAGTTGCTGGTCACAATAATACCGAGAAATTATCTCGAGACCTGTACGGTACTTCTTTTTTGCAAATAATTGTTTGTACTTCCACCCTGTAACGGCCCACTTCTGGGCTAACAGTATAAATAAATGAAATGAAATAATAATAATAATAATAATAATAATAATAATAATAATAATAATAATAATAATAATAATAATAATAATAATAATAATAATAATTATTATGGTTTTGCGTCCCAAAACCACGATATTACTATGAAGGCGGCTGTTGTGGAGCGCTGCAGAAGTTTCGGCAATCTGGGGTTTTTAATTAGCAACTAAGTTTAGCAACACGGGCTTCAAGCATTTTGCGTCCATTTAAATGCAGCCGCCGTGGTATGGAGTCAATACCGCAACGTTCGGGCCAGCGGTCCAGCCCTGCTTGTCAACCACCATTTACAATGGTACGAGTGGTATATACCTGAGCCGCTCCATCTACGGTGATCTTCACATCACTTCTTGAACTGCCGGAAGTTTTATTTGCCGGGATTTTCTAAAATGTCGAAGAGACCACCTCATGGAACCTGGACCCTCCAGCAGTGCGTGCTTCGTGGCGATAAATTAATTCGTTGTATTCTTACAGGCTGCAAAACAAGACTGATGCTCCAAGTGGTCATACTATCAACAGCGCCTCAGCCTGCCACCTACGTCAGCATATTTCTCAGAGGGTGGCAATGTGACACGGGTATGCTATCCACTGTAACACGGGACTTTTCCAAGACACCTTTCGTTGTTCGGATGAGAGTGACGACAACAGGCGCAATACAACCCCGGGTAGTTTGGGGTCAAAGCGTGCAATACGCCCCGCCCGTGTCCGCGTATCTTTTTGTGCGTGGACTATATACAAGCGGGAAGGAAACGTGCGTCCTTTTTGTATCTTTGGGAGAAAAGTCGGGAACACACGAGGAGGCGAGCCGCGTTGGGGTCGGAGAAGAGGCGGAAAAATTCCCAGCCACGCATCGGAAGTGCGAGCAGTAAAATATGTGGAGGAGGACATGGACTGGAGCTCAGGCGTGCGGATGACTGTTAGTGTGGACAATCAGGCAGCCGCTTCAGTGCCGCTCCCCCCCCCCCCCCCCACCCCAGCTCCTTTTCTCCGCGCCACACAACACTTCGTGCCATAACTGCACAAAAACAAAAAATAACTATGGCGAGGACAGCGGAGTGGGTTTTTCAAACACTGGCTTACGCTCAGAAACTGCAATAACATTCACAACGTTCGCTAAGTGTGGATAGATGCTCATTGTAAATACATATTACTAG